CAATATATTTACGATGTTATAGATATATAGTTTTCGGTAAAATTAATAATATTTTTTTCTTCTTAAGATCATTGTATTCTGTCATTACAACAAAACAAGTAATCAGTAAAAACTGAAATTATATTTACTGACTAGCTTTACCTGCAACTTCGTCCGCGTGGAATTTAACTTACATTTTCTAAAATAAAAGATTTTTTTCTAAAATAAAAGTAGCCTAAGTTACTCCTTATTACATCAGCTACCTGCCAAAAAAAGTCCCGTCAAAATCGGTCTAGCCATTTCAGAGATGAGCCGGAATAAACAGATAGACAGACAAAAATAGTAAAAAATGTTAATTTGGTGTCTGTACCGTATTTATATTCATATGCATGTAGCAAAAAACGGTTATTTCAATAATACATACAGACACTCCAATTTTATTTATATGTATAGATAAATTATTATATATATTAATTATTATAGTTTTCGATAAAATTAATAATAAATTTATTTCTTAAGATATTTGTACCCTGTCATAACAAACAAAATAAGTAATCAGTAAATAACTGAAATTATATTTATCGATTATAAACATTAAGTATAAGTGTCATGATGTTAAGAATACCATTTAGTTGAAAAACAAAAATAAGGATTTATGTTGGTATTGCGTGATATATTATATGTTAGACGAGGCAATGATGTAGGCGGATAAGAAAGTTCTACAACGAAAACTACGAAGACGGGAAACAGCATACGATTAGCCTTATGGTAGGCAGTTATAATAAACTCGTGGAGACTAGCCTTGGCAACTTTTACAAGTTCGTGTCGTTGTTGGAATGCAATACTTGAAATTTTATTTCGTTTATAGCCTAACGCTTAAGGTTTATAGTTAATATCATTATAATAGTCAGAAAAAACAAAAGGACTAAGCCAGACCTCAAATACATACTATAATATAGTTAATGTTTTTAGCAGCACATTTTGAGTTATTGCTTATAGTCAGAAAGGAGGGACTGTTCTGCCATATTACTGTCATTGATTTTGTTTATTATCAAAACTTTTTTTAATTTAATATTTTACTCTTGTAAGTTTCTACTTTGAACAACATCTGTTTAAAAGAGCAATAGGACCTACCTTTCTTTATCAATCTTCTTAACTGAATCTGAACAAATTAGCGGTAGAATAAAAAAAATACTTTATTTGAATATTTGAAAACTCTTAAAGTTATTTAAATAAAAAAAAAATAATGGATAATTTTTTTTTATTATATAACTTTAATGCACGTAATACACAGGTAAAAAGTACATATGGCGGACTTAACACCTAATGGCATTTTCTACCAGTGAACCATGAGTTGTGCTTTGTATTTAATCTGCAAAGCATGACTTTCTTTTTAAATAAACCCTACGAGTATGCAATATTATTTTATCTCTTCTTTATCTCTGACGACCTCGGTGGTCTAGTGGTCTAGCACACCGCTTTACGACCGATGGTCGCGAGTTCGATTCCTCGCACGGCACAAACATTTGTATTCATGAGTATGATTGTTTGTATTGGTCTGGGTGTTTTCTATGTATAGTATGTATGTATTTACAAAAAAAAAATATATCTATGTATTTGTATCAGTTATCTAGTACCCATAACACAAGCTTTAGCTAGCTTAACTTGGGTCTAGATGGCGCTGTGTGAATTGTCCTGAGATTATTATTATTATTATTATTATTATTATCTGTGCTACGAGTTCTACGAAGTGCTAACCGCGGTTTGGTCTAAGCCCTAATATCCAATAGTTAAGTCGGAATGATCTATTAGCGCCTAATCTTCCTTCAGGTATCACAAAGTGAATAGGAAACCTTCGAGATAAGTTGTCGAATTCAATTTACTCGGCGAGATGACTTGACGACTAGCGACTGGAATAGAATTATACGACAGCGTACGATCTTGAACTTGTTAGTTAAAAAAATATTTATTAAATACGTTCTGACATGTTTTTTATTATTGAGGATTTGGGCTATCGTCAGGTATTAAGACCTGTAGCACTGCGACCTATATAGAGAATCCAATCAAAGATTTGTATATATATATATTAACACATACTTACTAATATTATAAATGTAAAAATAGGGTTGTTTGTTACGCCTTCACGCAAAAACTACTGAACCGAACATCATGAAATTTTGTACACATCTTCTTGAAGATATTAGAATGAACCTATAGTAAAAAGCGTCCTATATGCTTTTTATTTAAAAAAAACAAATATTTTATTAAAAAACAAAAAAATAATAATATCAACAGTTTGCTATTAAGTATATTCATCATATTGATTCATTTCTATAGTAACGATATCCGTTACTTATTTAATGGATTCAATGGGAGCGAAGCCGCGGGTAATAACCAGTATTGTATATTTTATAAAGAAATAGTATACAATGTCAATTGTTTACCTACGATTCACGTATATCAGCTGCCAGCATCTTCCTTTGTGCGATGTGTTCCGTTTGAAGGAAGAGATAGGTCAGTGAAGTAATAAGGTAGTAATGACGTCTTATTCCTCCAGTGGCTTCACAGGTGTACCCCAATGACGTAATGTCTATGATGTTTACGAGTATGTATCTACTAGCTGTGCCCGCGACTTCGTACGCGTGGAATAGTGGCTTTGGATAGTACTTTTAATTATTTAGGCTAATCATAAAAAGCCAAAGGAAAAAGTGTTAGCTTCAAAAATGACGAGTTTCAATAAAAACTTTCATTCTCTATTTTATTTCACCCTTTAAGGGTAAAATTTTTACCAAAATTTGAAAGTCATATTTATTAATATTTAATTAATAGGCTAAAAATAAGTTTTATGTTTCTAACTTTAAAATATACTTTCATACAAACATTTGTCTTCCCTTTCAACGTCTTACAATCCTTATTACTTAATACTTATTTTAAAAAGTAGCCTATGTCCTTTCTCAGAGTCTAGACTATCTGTGCACCAAATTTTATTTAAATCGGTTAGTAGTTCGACAGACAAACAGATTGAGTTACTTTCGCATTTATAATATTAAAAGTAACAATATAAACAATCTGACGAGCCGTGTAAGGTACGTAGGAACCGTCAGTTGGCTCGTCAGATTGTTTGCCTACGTTAAAAAAACATGTAAATATTATTGTTGTTATGTGTTGTAGTGTGTACTGTAACAAAATAAATACATAATATTTAATGTGCTATTTTATCTTTATTTTACGATACCTATCTGAAGATTATTAACGTTATGACAACAGTTAATATTTTAATGTACAGTGCTGGCAACCATCTTGTTCATTTATCGAGGTGACATCTTCTATTTGTTGTCCTGTATGCAATAAAATTATTTCAAAACTATTTAGTACTCTTATATATAACAATAAACATATTTGTTCTTCTTATAAAGCTGGAGAGTTTGTTTAGTTTACTTAAGTTAACTCGCTAATTTCACAAACTACTAGTTCGTATTTTAATTTCTTTTAGTATGTGAGAGTCTATTTATCTGGGAAGCTTACAGCCAATAGGAGAGGAGCATTAATGAAAAATGCTGCAGAAACTAAGAACAAATCTAATTATGCTGTCCGCAGCTGGTCTTGGAAAATGGAGGCGAGTGGAGAGGGAATTCCACTCCAAACTCGGAATATAGTGGACGGCCAGCTCCTGCGTGAAGAACACAACTTCAGTTCACCCCTAAGGGTGATTTACAACACCTTGGGTGTTCGACACTTTGGTCAGGATGTCACTAACTAAAAAAATATTAAAAATAAAGTAGTTCTAAGACATAACATAAGTAGCACAGGATGTTGTAACTTCGATTCCCGTTGGAATGGTATAGGGTAGCGATCGGGGGAGCAATGCGCCAGGTGTTCATCTTAAGACTAAGCTTACTTTAAATAGGTACTAGTTTACAAAATTAAATTGCATGTATTAACGTTATTTAAATACAAATTATTTCTGATTCTGTTGTCACTTCCATCACGTATCATCAGTTTTTGTGCCTTTACAATTTAATAAAATAATAACAGCAAAAGTGGCTATATTTTATTTTATCATATGCTTATCAGAATAATGTTATCTTTAAGAAATGTCTTGTCATTCGTATTCACAAAACCTATATCAGAGCATGATCATTGAAAGGTGCCTTCGTATTATATGCTCCAAGGGTAAAATTGACATGTGCCAACTGCCGCCACAGTCGACAGTCACTGTGACATTTTATTTACGGTACAAAACAGAAATAAAAGACACACAAACAGAAATAACAACGACAGGCACAGGTCTAAGAGACACATGAACTTTTGCAGACAAATTTTAGAATTGTTTTTTTGTGGACGTATTACTTGTGTGACCTAAGTTATTTTTTTAAGTAGGTATGTGATGGTATTAGCATGTAAGTTGTGGTAAGTGGTAAGTGGTAACCGTCGCCTATATACATGAACAGCACCACGTATCCTTTGTGACATAACTAATACGTTGTCTAAGATGTTACGTAATATATATGTCCACTTTATTTGTAATTTCACTACTTTATCTCGACTGAAATACAGCTCACTATGCTTGGCAGCTGAAATAGGTGAGATAGAGGTAACCACTTGTAGAATGTGTGCAAAGTGTGCCACAGTAGTACTTTTAATTTATACTATGTCGTTTATGTACATTTAATTTAAATCAGTAAAGTCGTTTAGGCGTTATTGAGTAGCAAATCTCTAATTTCCGTTTATAATATCAAAGTATCTGTGAATAGCACTAATAAGCTTCAAAGAGCTTCATCATAATTCACATAAAGTTAATAACGATCGAAACTTGGCATAATATATTATGACAAAATGAACATCCCGTTTGTCCGTCGTTCCCAGGCCGAACGTCTCGGCCATTATTATCGCCCCCTAACAACCTGAAAAGGATTCCATTCCCCTCGTGTTTCTGATAATAATTTCCTATAAATTTTCCCCAGTCGTCTGTGCCGCGCCGTTAGGAACGGACGTGTTCTTATAATCGTGTTGATACCAAATACAGTGCATTGTAATAGTTGTGAAAGATACAGTACAAAATAATCGTTTATTAGTGATTTATAATAAATAATATTGGATTGTTTAAACCGGTAAGTTATTTTTTTGTAGATTTTTAAACAACATATTTGAATACCTGTTGCTTGACGCTCAACAGAACCGTCTGACTGACGCGACTCGGCATGCGAGTAATGCGTTGTTTTTTTTTAACAATTTTTCAATTTTTCTAAATGTTTTTTATGTGCCACTCATAATATTAGTTTTTTGTTATCGCGTGTGGGCGTTATCGTATTGATCTTTACCGTTTTATCATCTCAATGGGACATCAATTTGTGTTCGTTAGACGCCTCCTAAAGCAGTAGGTTGGCGTAATAAAACAATTTATTTTTATTTTCTTGACTATACAATGTTATTACAATTTTATGATTTTTATTGGTATACCTAGTAAATATTTTTTTTTATGACGCGACCTAACACCTTGATTGGTTTTTAACAAATTCAGGATTAAGTATTTTGTGATAAAATTTAATTATATTTCCCACTTATTCCAGCCGAGACTTGTTTGTCTATATTTTTATTTATATTTATAAATAAATACTTATAACTCTGAGTAGGTATACTTGTATTGGGTCATACAACCACTTTGTGGTGATCAACAATCGGCATAAGTACCCACTTCCTCAAATAAATAGATATACATACAACGTGAGTCGAGCCTATGCCATATCACAGAATAATCGTTTAGTGTTTTCGATCATCAGAGTATACTTTTTTATTATTGTTTTAAGATTTCATTTTGGTATAATATATCACTGCATGTATATATTCTACGATACTGACGTTTGCCTGAACTGCTATTTAATCGTATGGAATGTAATTTGGCAAAGATAAAATTACTCGTTTGTGATAATAGAGGAAGTATAATGTCCATTGAGATCTTCATCTGCCGTTCTTGCAATATTTTTCATTACAGCTCAGTTCCTATTAATCGTAGCGTCATTATATAGTCTTATAGACTTTTTCCAACGATAAAATGATTTTTTAATTTAAACTACAGTTCTTATTTTTAGCGTTTTCAATCAAACTAACATTTCAGCTGTATAATACGTCAGTTAGTATTAAAAAAAAAGAAATAAATAGCAGTACGAGCGATAATCTCTTTTTGAGTAATTTAGTAGATATGAAATAAAATGAGACACTTCCTGTCTTATAAAAAAAAATTGTCCAAAATATAAAAACAAATCTAGGGTGGTGCAGCATCCTTAACACTTAGTTAAACACAGACTAATCGGAAGCTTTGGTCTGGTCACGATTTTACAATTTCCTTATAAAGACTAGATCTTACTCTCGACGTCGTATGCTTTTTTTAACTTAAAGATAGCCAATGTTCGTTCTTGTGATACAATCTATTTATATATTAAATTTTATTCAGATCCGTTCAAGTATTCGACAGTGACGCGGTAACAATCAGACATACATACTTTGGAATTTATAATGTTAATATGGGAGTATGGATATCTACACCGATACTCCCAGTATGTATGTAAAAAATATATATATGTACTTATTTTGTTTAGTTTAACATGTCATGCCAATTAATGATCTTAACACTAAATATACAAAATACAAAGACATTAAGATTTCTGCTTTGTTTCTTGACCAAAATGGTTTATATTCCCTTGGTATATCTCTCACTAGTACTGTGCAAGTAAGAATCAACGCGCTAGAAAATTTCTGTGAAACTTTTCTAATAACCTGCCAACTGTATGTTGAACGTTACCTACAGAAGTCCAAAGTTGTGTGTTTAGTAGACAACCGAAATAATATAACCTTTACATTAATTCTACTGTTTAGTTAATTAATGTTGAACTTTGAATGCAAAAGTTTGTAAGGTATTTGTACAGAAAAAGGGTCGTTTAACCTTCAGGTATAAATTACGACAATAGATTTAGTGAATGAATTTTAAAGAGCGTTGTGGCTTTCCACCGGCTTTGAGTTCGAGTTCGAATTCCAACACCAATAATAATAATAATAATAATTAAATATTCACCCTTCCAAAAAATATCTCCCATAAAAAACCACAATATTAAATACCTGTCGCATAACCCGAAAATTCTTAACCTCCTCAACAATATCTTGACCCAGCACAACCTCTCCCACACTTGGCTAAGGCCCGTGTAGATGAGTATTACCTTCTTTTAAATGTATAAAAGAAGAGAAAGAAAGAGATAAAATAAGAATAATAATAATAATGATAATAATCTCAGGAGAATTCACACAGCGCCATCTAGAACCAAGTTAACTTAGCTAAAGCTTGTGTTATGGCTACTAGATAACTGATACATATACATAGATATTTTTTATTTGTAAATACATACATATTATACATAGAAAACAAGCGGACCGATACAAAAATCATACTCATGAATACAAATGTTTGTGCCGTGCGAGGAATCGAATCCGCGATCATCGGTCGTAAAGCGGTGTGCTAACCGCTATACCACCGAGGTCGTCAATATCGTGTCAATTTAAATTTGTTACTGATTCTCCTGTAATGAAAAAAACTTACTAATATTATAAACGCGAAAGTTTGAGAGGTTAAGACGGATGTTTCTTACGCTTTAAGGCAAAAACTATTGAACGGATTTTGATGAAACTTTACAGTAATATAGCTTATACATCAGAATAACACATAGGCTATAAATTAAGAAGATATTATGTAAATTGAGCGAAATATAAGCTATGGTAAACAGCTTATGGTAGGTACATCATAGTAAACGGTAACGGTCGTCTATATATATGTACATGAACAGCATTCCGAACGTCAGGTTATCACGTGACACCCGTGATGCAGCTCATGCCTTACTATTCCAAAAGACTAAGATGTCATGCCTTTTATCAGGTACATAATCCTACAACTGAAGCACATGTCACAAAGTCGCCCAAGCAGCTTGCTTAGCAGCTGCTACAGATAACTTTTTACTCTACGTCTGGCAAATGTGTATAATATTTGGATGAGTTTGCTTTGTAAACGATAATGAGTTATTACTGGAGAGTGGTGATGTTACGGAGCTCCGTAACCGTAACCGAAACTATCGGATAACCGACGGATAATATCGGATAGGAGCGGAGCCTAATTGAGACACATTATGTAACTACAAAAGCCTTTCTTAGAGGATGCCTACGTCATAGTAGCTTTATGCATGCAAAGTCTCAGCCCGATCAGTTTAATATTGACAAAGTTTCATCCCCTATTTTATCTCCTTGGGGGTAGAATTAATCAAAATCCTTTCTTAGCGGTGTATTTTATTAGCTATTTATATTTTACTTTTGAAATTCCTTAAAAATTAATATCCGTAACCGAAATTATCCGAAACTAACGGATAATCCGAAATAATTTCATATCCGCATTCGTATCCGTATCCGGTATAATAATCGTTCCTATATCCGAAACATATCCGTATCCGAAATTTCATATCCATAACATCCCTGCTGGAGACTTAGTCAGAAATATAACAATTGATGTCGGGCAGTTTGGAACTTAAGACTTTTGAGTCCAATTTGAGGTAGGAACTACTATACCACGTCATTTCGAAAAGTGCATTATCATAGTTAAATAACAATCATTCACTATGAGATTGGTTATCCGGACATAAAATTGTTCTGACCATCTCCATGGCGCAGGCTATTTGTATGCAAATTTTCGCTGAGTTTCATCATTGGACTGTATAATTTTTATTGAGATCAGTTCCATCATGTTGCGAAAGTGGAGCAAAAAAATATCGTCACTTTATGTATACTGCTAGTTACCTAATTCTTATTTAACCCTTGACTTCGTCTGCACTTTCACCCCCTATTTCATCCCTTCCAGATTATTTTTTTGTTATAAAAGATATATCTTTTTATCCAACAATTAGATCTATCCAACCGTTTACTCTTGAAAAGGTCAGATAAACAGGCTGACAGACAGACATAGCCTCGAGTTTGTAATAATATTATGAATGGACTACTTGGCTTAACCATGAAAAGAATTTACTGTTTGCATATTTGTTAATTTGTAATGAATAATGGAACATTTTTTCCTTTAATCAAATCTATATCTATATATGTACAACTCAAAGGTGACTGACAAGTGATCTATCAACGCACAGCCCAAACCACTGGACGGATCGGACTGAAATTTGGCATGCAGGTAGATGTTATGACGTAGGCATCCGCTAAGAAAGTATTTTGATTAATTCTACCCCCAAGGAGATAAAATAGGGGATGAAAGTTTGTATAAAACTTTTTAATTTTAACCCGATCGGGCTGAGACTTTGCATGCATAAACCTACTATGACGTAGGCATCCTCTAAGAAAGGTTTTTGATAAATTCCACCCCTAAGGGCATAAATTAACGCGGACAAAAGCTCATCATCTGCTTCTTCCTTATCCCATTTATTTTGGGTCGGCGTAATATGTTTTTCGCTTCCATTCATCCCTGTTCGCAGTCATCGCGTTATTTACTTCCTTTTTTACCATATCATCTTTCACACAGTCCATCCATCTCTTTTTCGGCCTTCCTCTGCCCTTATAACCATCCACATTCATATGGATTTCAAAACACCGAAGAAAACCTTTTTTTAAATTTTATCCTCGTTCCTACGCATTACATGTCCATACCATGATAGACGATTACTCTTCAACCTCTCTGACACCAGTGCCACAACGCGGACAAAAGCTAGTGTATTTATAAAGCTGAAGAGTATTTTTCGTTTGTTTGAACGCGCTAATCTCAGGAACTACTGATTCAAATGTCAAAATTCTTATTGTGTTGGATAGTCCAGTTGTCGAGGAACGGTTTAAGCAGTATAACACTTTTGCATATAGAAAAATATTGCAAAAGGTGGCGAAATGAAACGCAGACGAAGTTGTGCAAAGGTTCATCCTATGTAATCGAAGTGAAACTGAAAATCACTAAGGATTATTCAATTCAAGTGCTAGCTGGCACAGTAATTTTAACCTGGGATTTCAAACGGGGTTCATTTTGATTGCACACTGTTTTTGCTTTTTTTATCCGATCCGCCGTATGCAGATGGTTCGTTTTCAATTT